CATTGTCAATTAAGGGCTTTGTACTATTAATAATGAGAATACAATTATTGAGTTTTGGATTTACATTTGTATAAGTTTAATTTCTTGGTTATACTTTTTTATATCAATTTGACTAAACTGTGTGGCTTATAATTTCCGGGAAAAATAGTGGATTACAGTTTGGGCAGGGGTTTTGATTGATCATAAGTAGCTATAGCAATGAAATACTACATATGTAGGTCATAATTATATCCAAGTGAAGATATATGACAGAGCTATAAACTGGTTCTTAAATATTGAAAGTAGATGTTTCGATGTTAGTGTCTGCCCTTGTTTTGTTGTGGGTGGGTTTTTATTTTTTGCGGAATAAATAAATATGATATATGGTATTAAGCTGATGCTTCTTTTGTTTTGTAGTATATAGAAAGAAGGTTTTATTTTCCTGATCAAATAAAATGATACGATATAATTCAAAATATGGTGTAATAATGTGAAATGGGAATAACAACTGTTTAGCAATATTTGATTGAAAGACGGTAATAGAAAAGAAGAACTACAACGTAAAAGGACGACAACGATTCTCTCAGTGATCCAACAGCCGGAAATGAGTAAATCTTATACTCCTCCATCTTTGGTGATGAAGCTCATTAGTAAATCAGGGCTCTCATGGAAGGTCTTGGGTGCCCAACGAGAAGTTTTTCTGGATAATTATACTCCTTTCAGTTGTTTTTAACTTTTATGAAATGGTAAATTAAATTTAGAAGGGGAATAATATATGAGAGTTCTTACTTGAGCATGACCCGGAAAATTTGGAATCCTAGCTACTGTGAAGCTACGGTTAACTTCTGAAAAATTGAAGGCAGTGATTTTGATTTCGAAAAGAAAATGATTTCCTATGAGGTCATCCATGTATGTAGACAGGTCTGGAAAGATGGTTTCATTCACCTAAATAGGGTAAACAAATTGGAAACCAAAAGAGTTAGATATTAGTATTAAACCATTTGAAATGCACTATAATATTGTTTTAAATTTGGTTTACCTTAGTGTGCAACTTTTCATATGAAATTCGACATATTAGATGCATTAGGTCATAACTTGATACAATAAATGTTGCTATATCACTACCGTCTAAAACAGCTAATGCGACATGAAATCTGTAATGGATATAAAGCTATTTTAGATATTTGTTTTCAAGTGAAATGTATATTTAATTTAAAGAATAGATATGTAACCTGTCATTCTTGTAAACGTTGGTGTCTTGGCAGTTACTACAAAGTAGTGAATTTTGGTGTGGTTCCAGAGTGCCTAGACAAGTAGTGCATGTCATGTTGTTCCAGCCATATGTTGATAAGACATCCACAACTGTAGCTTGGCATAGAAAGTATGCATCCTACATTTCATTGTGATTGTGTGTTTTAATTAGATTGGTTTTTTTTTTTCATAGATGACTAAAAGTGAAACATACATGTTGAACTCTTTTTGAAGTGAATTCGCACAATTTTGCAATACACGTTGTTTCCATTTTAGGGGTGTTTGCTGCTACGTCGATGATGGTAAATGTTTGGTTTATCCTGAAACACCAAAACTTAACAAGAGAGGTTTTTTTTTATTAGTATTATTATTTTTTTAAAAATAGTGTGTAAATTTAAAAATAGACTTACCAATTAGTAAACTTAGAGATTGGCGCAATGTGTTGGTTGAAAAAAAACCGTGTGTATATTGTTCCATCCAAGAAAAGTGTCCCTGCATGTAAAGCTAAATTAGAAGACCAAATACATTATTGCTTAATGTAATTATGGATTTTTCTTTTGTTTTGGGAAAATAGTCGTACCATCAAGAATTGTTGGATTAACAGCTGTTACCAAAACAACAGATGTTAAAGAGATTGGACCAGATAGGATGGCACGAAGGCGAGAAGCAGTTTTAGCCCAAAGAGACAAGGAGACAATTACATTTCTGTAGGAAGATCAAAGTGATTAATTTGTTTTTGGGAAAGAGATAATAGAAAGGTTGGAAACAATTTTTTTGAATATAAGATTTCAAACTTATGGTTGGAGCCATAAATTTACAACAATTTGGTTTGTTGAAGTTGGGTCACTAAGGTTTGAGCCTTGGATTGAAATTATTTTCCCTACAACATCTGTATTGAGTTGGAAATATGTTAAAACCAAAGAACAAGCAATATGAAATCACTATTTAAAAGCTTGTTGTTTAAAATATTTATTAGGTTAAAAAGCTTAAATTAATGTTTAGTAGTTATAAATTATTAAATTGGATATCATGAAAAGTTAAAATTTACCAGGCAAAGCAAGATTTGTGTTGGCAAGACCAACCAAATGTGCATGATTGTGAACTCTGAATTTCTCTTTCGCTATCTTCAGCCATGATTCTTTTTCGACAATGAATGTGGTTTCATTGTTGAATTTGATAACAAAAGGATGGTCTGTGATTTTGTTGTGTTTAGTACATGGCCTTACTTCGAACCCTTGAATTTGTAAGATAATTCCTTCTTTAAAAATACCATTGTATTTTTCAGCTAGTGATGCAGGAATGAAGCAATGAGTTGCAGAATTCAGTATAAAAAGATGCGTTGTTAGATTTGGAAGTTTTTGGAGAAGAGAATAATGTAAAAATATATAATTGTTTTTTCCTACTAAATGGACAATGATACCTTCTCATCAAGCAGGAGGAGTGAATGGCCGAGAAATACATGACGGTCGGTGACGGTACGTATTTCGGTGTGAACTTCCCACATTCTAACAATACGAGCAACAACGTGTTGAGCATGCATTCCAAGTTGTAAATCATCAAATGCAACATAGGTAGCTAGATTTAGATTAGGAGCATTCATGAGATACATTTTGCTTGTAAGTAATATGGAGTAGGTTTTTTTTTAGTCTTTTTTTTTGACGCCAGTATTTAAAGAGTGGATAAAAATGTATATATAGTGTTTTTATTTTGTGTGAGTTTAAATACCCACTATTATCTATTAAATGAGTATTAAATTGAAAGGAAATTAGAATGTCAAACATTAAATTTTTGGCATGGAATATGAGAAATCATAACGTTTCAATAGTAATGTACTGAATGTGAGAGTATTTAATGTAGGTAGGGAGTGGCATCTCAGGATAAAGGAGTGGAGTTTTTTTTTTTTTTTTTTTTTGTTCCTGGTTTTAATCTTTGAGGGTGTTGACTATATCTATAAGAAACATGGGGAAACCAATAGGTCCTACTAAATTCGGAACTAAACGAAGCCTAACCTAGTAGCAGAATAGAACAAAGTAAATGTAATACTAATGTGTATTAGGGCCTATTATGACAATATTTGAAATAAAGATTAAGGTCCACTAACAATGAGTTTAGGAAGCTGCACTGAAGTATTACGATAGGCCTGAGAAAATGCATGGAAGACAGAAAAAGAAGAGCCTACGCATTCCTTTTGAGCATTTGCAAAAGCCTGGACTCAAAATAAAGAAGGTTACTCTAATGAATGGTAAGTGAACATGGAAAAATGATTATTAAACAGCAACTCCACGTTAATATAACCCCCAAAAGTGATAGACTGGCCACCATATTCTTCAATCTACAGTCCCATAGTAAAGAAATGTCAGAGATAACATGGAGTTTGGTGACATTGTAGTAGAAAACACTATTGACTGCAGATGACATTTGTTAGCTAAAAGATGGATCAAGAGCAAAATCACAAATGCATTTGAGAAGCCCATGGTGGGAAGAAACTGTTTCAAGGGTCATAATATTCAATTGTTTACATTTCTTGTCCTATAAACCAAAACTGTTTAAAGGAAGTATCATTGTTAAACTCGAAAGGTACTACATTTGTTTTCGTACGAATAACACCATCCTTCCATTCCTAACACCTATGTATTATTTGGTCAAAAGCGATATCCCGAAGCAGGAAAACAAGTAAAGAGCTGAAAACCAAAGCTGATTAAAAACATTCTAAAAACTTGGTGCATGATTCATGTAAAGTGCACTCTAATACATGGAAATGAATCACCTGTTTAGAGACTTCTTAAGCATCCTTTTCTGACCTAGCATAATTCACCAGGACCTGCAACAGAAACAGAGTGTTTAATTCGAGATCAGAAAACAAAGACTAATGTGTAGCATTTACGGAGATAAACCTATAGATGTATCTCCATCATTATAATGACAAAAGAAATTGAATGCAATCCTGAGCTAAAATCTTCATAACTCAAATTGCTAATTTCACGAATAATTTCATGCCTCAATTTCATTTTTAAGAAAGTCACCTAAGCCTTCCCCAATGTTCAGCAAAGACTCGACCAAACTATTTCAATTTTTTTTTCCGATGAATTTCGTCATGCAAAAAGAAGAGTTATCATTTTTTCACTCCAGGGACACATTACTGACATCATGATACCAAATTTTTTTGCGAAACCCTGGGTTGATTCTTCTGGAGTCTAATTTGACACCAGAAAGGAAATAGAATCAGTACCTGAGTGATGAATTATTTTCCAATGACAGTATGAAGGAGATCGAAGTCTATAACGCCAAGTTACTAAAGCTTTTGGAACAATGCGACAACATTTCGATCCGAAAAAGCGCACGCTTGACTTCACCTGTTGAGCAAACTCGAATTGACGCTGCAATTCCAGCAATACATCATCCATCTTCCTCCCGTTCTCACCGGAATTTGAACCTCAGATCATATTTGATATCTTCGATACAAAGAATCATTGGATTTTTTTTTTGCGTCAGTACTCAGATTATTTCTCAAGAATTTTGATTATGTTCAGAAACCGTATTATCTTTCCTCAATTGAATTTACTGGTCAACCGTAAACTGGACCGACCGGTTTTATCTCGGTACACTTTAATAGTTTTGAAATTGAGGGTTATGAAACTTAAAACCAAATAAGCCCTAAATCTTTAGAAAATCAGAGCGTTTCTTCTTTTCTCCTTTGTGGTTTAGTTCATCTTCGCCTAGGAATCATATCTTCTTCTAGCTTCCTAGAAATAAGTTTTTGACTGTAGAATATGAGCTACGATTTCGGGTTTTTTTTTTCAGTGATACAAATTCTTTGTTGTAGAATATGAGAATTTGAAAGTGTGACTAAAGATGCTTACTTTAGCAAACCCTTTGGTGTGAAGAAGGATTGTAGCAATGGAGATTGATAGAGAAGATGAAAGAAGACCAAATCAGCTATAGGTTACGTATTTAGCTGCTTGTTAAGATTTGATTGGAGTTATGAGAATGTTTATGGATGGAATTGATACTTAGAAAGCTGAAAGAGTATTATTAATGTTTGAAATAAGGCTTTGTGATTTTGATTTTGATTTGATTTGCTTTTGCATATCAGACCTTCTGGTGAAGCGTAAGATTGAGAAACATAGAGAGAGAGAGAGAGAGAGAGAGAGAGAGAGAGAGAGAGAGAGAGAGAGAGAGAGAGAGAGAGAGAGAGAGAGAGAGAGAGAGAGAGAGAGAGAGAGAGAGAGGTCCGTGTTGACAGTGAGTTTGTATTCCATATTTATGCATTGGACTTTGCAGGATTTGATATTCCAGGAACCTTTCTCTTTAGAACTCTCATCGGAAAGGTGAGCTATAATTTTGTGGAATTTATGGTGTTTAGGATTTTTTGTTATCATTTCTATTTTGAAGAAACTTTTTTTATAGTTTGTTTACTCGTAGATATTTGGAAGCATAGGTTCTGTTGGGGGTGGCTTAGCCTTGGGGAAAGAAGGTCCCCTTGTACATACAGGTGCCTACATTGCATCGTTGCTTGGTCAGGTGAGCATCTGACTTCCCTGTGATTCTGGCATAGAGATGAAAACTGAATTTTGCTTTTCTTAATACTCTGTCCTTTATCATTCTTCATGAAACTAATATTTTGTTTTTGTTGTTTCAGGGTGGATCTACAAAATATCATTTGAATTCTAGGTGGCAGCAATTTTTTAAGAGTGATAGAGATCGTCGTGATCTTGTAAGTTCCTAGATGCTTATTGTGAAAAATGCTATCTGATTTGTTTTCGTTTTAGATTAGGTTCAAATTTCTTGATAGATCTTTTCCTTAATTTTTTCAATGACTTGAAAGGTCACTTGTGGATGTGCAGCTGGAGTTGCTGCCGCTTTTAGAGGAGGTCAAATCATGGTGGGTTCCTTCTCTCACATCCTATGTCCAAAGTGGCTGAATTTACTCTGTACTTAGAAACAACAATGGAGGAACCTTTGTTGTCTATGCTGTAACATCCTTAGCTTGACAGCTTTGCACTGGTTTTTTACACTGTTCCGGATTTTAACAGTGTTTAAAAGGTGGGTGTCTGGTTCTGTCCTATTTTTCAGCACGAAACAAGTTTTGAGATTTGAGTTGTCAAAATTATCTTTGTTTTTCAGGTTTTTTTGGAGGCAGAGAAAGGGTACAGATCGTTGATAAAGATTGTCATTGCGTTGGGTGAAGACCCTCCACGTGTCTGTGTTCATTGCGTTGGGTAAAGACCAGGTTTAGTCATTGCGTTACTGTAGTTGATTTTTTTTTTATTCCTAGTCTAAAAATCATTCATCCAGTTTCCCTTCTGTCAGATTTTTCTGTTACGCTAACATGGTCTTAATTTTTGATTAGGCTTTTTTCTGTTACACCAATTGTGATATTTTAAACACATATGGCCCATTTATGATGGGCTATTTTGTTTAGTCCTATACATTTATAATTAGAAGCTGATATGTTAAAAATAAAAGCTGACTCATATTAACGAAATGTTTTGATTGGAAGGGAAAAAAGCTGATGTGTCAGCTCGAGAAGAGCCTAAAATGCTGACGTGGCGACCATTTGGAGAGAGTTCACCTCCTCTCATATATATGATTTTCAAGTATTTTTGATTATTTAGTCTATAAATAACTAATTATTTTGAAATGTATTTCGGGTATTTTCGGTTATTCGAAATATATCGGTTCGGTACCGATTTCAGTTCGGTTTATTTATCCATGTCTAATTTAACTCATCAACCACTCATACACGGACATATGACCGTTTCTTAGCTTCAGTTTTGGCTCTTAGCTAAGAGACGTCTCTTAACTATAAGTTTGATTTTTGAACTAAATTAAATCAATTAATGCCTAAGATCTACCTAAGAATTTGCTAAGACCTTACCTATAAAGATGCTCTTAGCCACAAGGATGAGTGGGTTTTGTATTTAGTTGTGTTATATTTGTTTAGTTTGATTGGTACAATAATATGTGATTGTTTGTGGCATATACATGGACTAGATTTTTCATTAAATTAATATGAATTGTAGACTTGATTGATTAACTTTCATTTCTTCACATGTTCACATATTATGTGGTTGTTGCATATATAGAGTATAATTTACATTATGCAATTTGTATAAAATAATTCAATGCAATTTAAAATTTAGTAGTATTTTGAAAGGTCTAGACTTTTTTTTGTTAATCTCGATGTTCCAAACCTAGGACTATACATCTTTCAGAGATGTGATCAGTCTTTAATAAATTCCCTCTCCTAACGAAAATCATGAACTTCAATAGCGAGGTTTAAATGTGTAAGTCATATGATCAACCGATGAATTCTAGATTAATTATTTCATGCTATATGGATCTAATGGATGCGAAAAATATATAAATATGACTAATGTATGATGTTAATATATATTTAATATGAAGTCATTTTGATAGTGAGGTTTAAATATGTACGCATTGTATGTGTCTGTTTTTTCTTAACTTTTTCAAAATAATATGAAAATACGTTTTAAAAAGTGATTGTAGAATTTATATTATTGGGAGTAAGAACTCATCTCTTAAAATTTATGTCTCAAGACTTAGGTAAAATATAATCTCACTTAAGCTCATTATTGAAGACAATATAATACTCATATTTACCGTTAAATCTTATTTGAATCAATTAAACATTTAGAAATGAAATAATATACAAGAAAGACTATTAGTTGAATAAAAATGTGATGTTATAAAATTTACAAATTATGTGGGACTTGAGATGTGATGGTTAGTGATTGATAACAAATTATATAGAAATGTTTGTTTCATAAAAAATCATAAATTCATTTCATTTAAATTTATATAATACTCAAAATCACTATTGTAATTGTCCGCACATGAAAACTGTGTAGAAAAAGTTACCTAAATTTTTTGAATTAGGTTGAATTTATTTTATTTAATTTGTGTTGTTAATGCCCATGAATGTGTTCTTTATATAAATATATTCTTACAGAGGTTTATTCGCTTCATTAAAAGTTATTACATTAGTTTGGTTTATGTTGACCAGTGACCACATTAAAAAAAATATTACTTTGTATATTATTTAATGATTAAAGAAATTGGTTTGTTACAATTAAGTAAATAAATTTTATATATAATATACATTGCCTCTTTTGCTCAATGCAATGGAGATTTACGTTGTGAACTCCTAATCGTACCAAAAAAACTGGTAGAAAGGGTAGGTTAAACTAATTAGCTACATTTTGATTTATTGTTGATCAAGAACTAAATTTTACTGACTTAAGAAAAATATTATTCAGTTGATGCAATAATGTAACATCAAATCGATGTACAATGTGAACAATATGGACTTGAGAAGAAATGCTTGTGCAATGCAGTGAGAAGATATAAATGCAACTACATACACAATGAGCCACCTATTATCATTTTTATGATTATAATTACTAAATTTTCATCAAGTGTTTTCTAGAGGTCCAAACAAACTTAATTCACTAGGGTGTTGTCTTGAAACTGAATTTATTGCTAGTGACCTAACCAATGAGATAATGAACTCCATATGAAACTTTACCAGTTTATAAGTAGATGTTTAAATCTATTGAAAAATAGAAAACACAACGAAGCGATTAAATTAAAATAAAAGCAAAAAAGTTAGAAACTAAAAATTAAATATTGATTACATTTTTATTTAATTATTAATTAATTAATATTTAATTTTTTTTTAATGTAGTTAGGATAAAAAATTAATATAGTTTGAATTAGATTTTAGTGTACTTTTTGTTTGAAGCATTACAACCCGTAAAAAAAAGGTTTGAAAGCAACAACTATTCTTAATTTTATATTTGATTGTTTTACACCATCTTATCTTTCTATTTGATGTGAAATGATGAATATATATATATATATATATATATATATATATATATATATATATATATTCATTATCTGAGCGTATAATAAAATTTTTGTAACCATCATATTAATTTTTTTTTTCCAACCTATACTACATGGCTTCATTAACAAACTATTTACTTTCTTTGGTTTTTTTGGTTCAAAAATAACTTTTGTTGCTCCAGTACATGATACAACTTAGGGTTTAAATGGTAACCGATGAATCTGGCTGAATCTGGCTGAATTGCTGAATCTGACTGAATATATTTGTGTTTTTTGGCGAAATCCGGCAGAATAATTTAAAGTTCAAATGGTAAATGCTGAATCTGACTGAATTTTTTTTATACAACCCAAATAAATTTCTAAAATTGTTAACAACAGAACTTTATATATCTAAAATATTATAGTTAGTTTTATACTGAATAATAAAAATAAATGGATCTTAAATTTCATTTGAACTTATTTGCACAAAAAATAAAAATAAAAATTCATTTGAACTTTAAGTTAGATTCATTACCGAACGAACCGGAACCAAAATATTTTGGATACCTGAATGAAACCAAAATATAATTATATATCTAAAATATTATAGTTAGTTTTATACTGAATAATAAAAAATCCGAATAACCAAAAAATACTATACACTAAAAGTATTCAAAAATTTCTCGAAAATACCCGAAATGTTATTTGGGTAAGAACAAGAAGTAAACAATATTTAAAAAGTTTTGGTTCCTAATCGGTTCTTGATTCAAAAACCAAAACTTCCGAAATATTCGAAACCGAAATAATTTTTAACCGAAATTCTAAAATAATTGAATGTATACTAAACTCGAGAACCAAAATATCCAAAACTAAAAATTACATGATTGAAACCGAACCAAATACTTGAACATCCAAGGCTATCCACAAAATTAAAAACAAAAAACATAAACTATAAAAAAATATCAAAAATTATTAGTTCTTTAAAAATCCACTCATATTGATTTTCTCTCATATTGTTTGCTTATTTTCTATTTGTTGAAGGTTTGATTAATTCAATAAATCAAAGATTGAAGTGAGACCACTATGACAACAGATCAAAAATTCCACAACAATTCCACATATACAAATGATGTAACATGTATTTTTTTCTACATGAATTCCTCAGCAATTCCACAAATACATGTTACCATTTAGAGCCTTAATATCTGATATAAATTAAGTTATTAGCATATTATCCTATACAATTTTTTCTTAACTAACTTGACATTATCAAATACAACTTAGAATATTTTATTTTAACGCAATAACATATCAACAGAATTACAAATGCTTTAGTTTGATCATTAAAAATAAAATATTCTCAATATTCTTTTTGTAAAATGTTAAAAATTTCGTAAAACTATATTATCTTAAAAAATTATTTGGTGTTGCATACATATAACACATGTACTTAACTGATTCACATATTTGGTATGGACAAAACAAGTGTATTTCTCTATATAAATACATTTACTGCAAGTAGGCCTAGGCAAAATACCCGGAACTGAATACCCGAACCGAAAAATATCCGAACCGAACCCGAACCGATTTTTAAAAATACCCGAATGGGCCCTAGACCTCCTAACCGAAAAAAACCCGAACCGAATCCGAACCAAATCCAATATCTGTGGGTACCCGAATACAAATATACACCTAAAAATATTTGTTATATTTATATTTATAATATCCGAAATACCTTACAATCATAAATCCGAATATATTAGGTATTTTTGAGTAATTCAGATACATTTGGATATATTTGGTTAAAAAGTAACTAATGATGTAGTTTTCTTTTGGGTAATTTTAGTATTTTAGATATTTTTATTATATTTGGGTAAAGAGTAACCAATGTATTTTCGAGAAATCGGGTATTTCGGTTAGATTTGGGTATATATGAGTGAAAAACCCGAACCCAACCCGAAACCGAAAATATTTCGGGTATTTTTGGTTATTTTCGAGTATTTTGCTTTTTAATTAAAATACCCGAACCCGAACCAAACCCAAACCGAATTTTTAGAATAACCGAATGGGTCTCGAAATCCTATCCGAATAGACCCGATACCCAAAAAAAAGAACCGAACGGGTTCGGGTACTCGAATGCCCAGGCCTAACTGCAAGGTTAGCTCTATGAAAAGAATTATTAACTTTGTAAATAACCATTGTGTCACTTAAAATTTTTGCGGATCAGAGTTTTCATAATCATAAAAAATGCACTAGTTGGAAAATTATTTATGCGGGTCTATACATAGTGTTCATAAATCATATAATTCGTCGGAGATTACTTGAAATGATTCCAACCAATTTGTTTAAAAATCATATAATTCATTGGAAATTACTTGAAATGGTTCCAAACAATTTGTTCTTGATAGAGGCTTTCATGTCTTCTTTACTTTCCATGATAACTTCTTGAACCCTTTGAAGATAGATCCTTTGAATTTGAAGGATTGTATTATCGAACTTTCTCTCTTTGGTAGCATTGGATGCAATGGTGAAGGAGTATCCCGTGGGAAAAATGATAAAGGTGATGAATGGTGAAGTGTAAACCTTGGAGAAGCAATGACAAGCGGAATCCACGGTGAGGGTGGTCGGGATGGCATACTTGGAGGTTCTACTTCACTAACGAATTTGAGCTTGAGAGTCTCTAAATCTCGCATGAAAGAGATGAACTTGTTTTGGAATGTGATACTCTTCTCACAACATCGAGATTTCAAAGGATTCATTTAAGGAAATGTAGATAAAACAATGATTTTCTAAAATTCACCAGAACTTCCATAAAATGTCAGAGAATACAACTAATTTGTTATCTATGTGTTGTGATTTGGTTTAAGACCAAAACATTACCCTAACCAAATATAGTTAGTCTCGGCAAAAAAGGGGAGGCAAGTGTCCTACACTAAAGAAATGGATAATGTTGATTTTCTTACTTTTTTATTTTATTTAAAACATTGCTAAAAACCTAAAATAGAGATCTGAAGAAAATAGGAGGACGAAACAGTAAAGTGTAAAACATTGATGGAGACAAGAAAGCAGAAAAAAAGAGTTACATTTTACTTTTAGTAAAAAAAAAAACATGGATATTAATTATTTTTGTACATTAATATAAGAAGACAAAACAAAAAAATAAAATAAAAACAAATAAGCCCCAAATAATGGAGACGAAGTGGAGAGAGAAAGCTCCCACTCTCTCACACCCCAAAGCTTCTTCTTCTTCTTCTTCTTCTTCTTCCTCTTCCTCTTCCTCTTCTTCTTCTCTAATCTGAATCCAAAGCCTCTCTCTTTATGACACAAGATCGCTCAGAAATGTCTGAAGATGACGACGACCAACAATCTTCACCGTTGGATCTACCCTCTACCGCCATAGCTTCTTCCTCTACACCAAACAAATCTCGTAACTGTATCTCTTCCTCTGTTACCTTAAAGTCTCAAACTTTCCCTGACCATGTTCTCGAAAACGTTCTTGAGAACGTTCTTCAGTTCCTAGATTCAAGATGTGACCGTAACGCTGCTTCTTTAGTTTGCAAATCTTGGTGGCGTGTTGAAGCTTTGACTCGATCTGAGGTTTTTATTGGTAACTGTTACGCTCTTTCTCCGGCGAGGTTGACTCAGAGATTCAAGCGTGTTAGGTCACTTGTGCTTAAAGGGAAACCTAGGTTTGCTGATTTCAATCTCATGCCTCCTGATTGGGGTGCTAATTTTGCTCCTTGGGTTTCTACTATGGCTAAAGCTTATCCTTGGCTTGAGAAAGTTGATTTGAAAAGGATGTTTGTTACTGATGATGATTTAGCTCTTCTTGCTGACTCTTTTCCTGGGTTTAAAGAGCTTATCTTGGTTTGTTGTGAAGGTTTTGGTACTAGTGGTATTGCTATTGTTACCAATAAGTGCAGGTCTGTTAAAAGTGCTATCTTTGAGTAATGTTTTGATAGTTAGTGAGCTTTTGTTATGAACTTATTGGATACTAATTTGTTTTCAGAAAGCTGAAAGTGCTTGATTTGATTGAGTCTGAGGTTACGGATGATGAAGTGGATTGGATTTCTTGTTTCCCTGAGGATGTAACTTGTCTGGAGTCTTTAGCTTTTGACTGTGTGGAAGCTCCTATCAATTTTAAGGCGCTTGAGGGTCTTGTTGCTAGGTCACCGTTCTTGAAGAAACTTAGGCTGAACAGGTTTGTGTCCCTTGTGGAGCTACATCGTCTGCTACTTGGAGCTCCACAGCTTACTAGTCTTGGGACAGGTTCATTTAGCCATGATGAGGAACCTCGGAGTGAGCAAGAACCAGATTATGCTGCTGCATTTCGTGCTTGTAAATCTGTTGTTTGCCTGTCAGGATTTAGGGAGTTGATGCCGGAGTATCTTCCAGCTATCTTTCCGGTGTGCGCTAATCTCACTTCCTTGAACTTCAGTTATGCTAATATTTCTCCTGACATGTTTAAGCCCATCATACTCAATTGCCACAAACTCCAGGTGTTCTGGGTATGTATCGTTCTTGATCTATGTCTCCATAGTTTTAACTTATTTGTGAGTTATTTCTTAACACCATATTGTTTGGGTCAGATGGATTCAATGAATAAAACTTGATATCAGCTGTGCAAGGAACTTGAGTAAAATGCATGACTTGAACTTTTACAATGCAGGCTCTTGACTCAATATGTGATGAAGGACTACAGGCAGTTGCTGCAACTTGCAAGGAACTCCGTGAACTCCGAATCTTCCCTTTTGATCCTCGGGAAGACAGTGAAGGTCCCGTCTCTGAATTAGGCCTCCAAGCAATCTCTGAGGGTTGTAGGAAACTAGAATCTATTCTCTACTTTTGCCAGCGCATGACTAATGCTGCCGTGATAGCCATGTCAGAAAACTGTCCTGAGCTTACTGTGTTTAGGCTGTGCATAATGGGTCGACATAGGCCTGACCATGTGACAGGGAAGCCTATGGACGAGGGTTTTGGTGCTATTGTTAAAAACTGCAAGAAGCTAACTCGCCTTGCAGTGTCAGGCTTGCTGACAGATCAAGCTTTTAGGTATATGGGTGAGTATGGGAAATTGGTCCGTACGCTTTCAGTAGCTTTTGCTGGGGATAGTGACATGGCTCTGAGACATGTCCTTGAAGGTTGCCCTAGACTGCAAAAACTTGAGATAAGGGACAGTCCGTTTGGAGATGTTGCGTTACGCTCTGGTATGCATCGTTATTACAACATGAGGTTTGTTTGGATGTCGGCATGTAGCTTGTCAAAGGGATGCTGCAAGGATATTGCACGCGTGATGCCGAATCTAGTTGTGGAAGTAATTGGGTCAGATGATGATGACGACAATAGGGATTATGTTGAGACTTTATACATGTATCGGTCTCTTGATGGTCCAAGAAATGATGCACCAAAGTTCGTCACGATTTTATAGAACGAGGTGCATTTCCGTGTTACCGATTTTTAAGAAGGGGAGTGAAATGGGTAGGTGTAGGAGGCTCAAATGATGATGATGATGATGGTGTCATCAGAGGCACACTACATGATTGTTGTTGATGATGATGATGATGATGATGATGATGATGGTTGGGAGGAATGCAAGATTGTTGTATCATTATTTTCTTTTTTATTTTTGGGTTTAAAAGATCTTATTTGGTTGGTTAGGTGGAACAATGGATGTATGTTTTGGGAGAAACAGTGTTAGTTGGTTCTAATAAGCTGCACTTTTGGCTCTCTCTCTCTCTCTCTCTAGTTGTTGTTGTTGAGAAACTAATGAGACATTTCTCTTTTGTCTTTCTATTTTTAATTAATTCTGAGATATTTCTTCTGAATCCGTTTAAACTGTAGTGGTGGATATTTATGTTGTTTTGAATTTGGTTTTAGTTATAACTATAGTTGGAATAAGTTTGGTCCAAATTGATGAAGATTTGGCTTTGTTTTGTAAGAATACTACAGTTCAATTGGCTTTTCTATATTCTATTTGATTGAAACTATAATGTAACTTTAACAAAAAAATCATTTTGATTCGATACAATTCGATTATTTGGCTTCGTTCGGTTAAAATGTCTTACGCGTAATTAAAATGCAGAAAGGGGGTGAGGGAAATTGTGGTGGTGGAGAGATATGAGCTAAGGTTCTTATCCAAAGGAAGACCTCTCCTTTTGCCTTTTGTTGACAAGCCATCTTTGTCCCCAAAAGACTACATTTTTTCAACTGACAAGAGACCCATCATTTATTTCTTAAAGGTCATAAACCAAACTGAAATAATGCAGAGGATGGTGACAAAAACATATGATGGTGGTGGATTAGAGATAATTTGGAAAAAAGGGGCTTATATAATAGGATTGATGTGATCATCTTACCTACTCATTAAAACACTTAACCCCAATGTTTTTTTTACACTCCCATCATTTCATAATCCTTTATCACTTTGCTTCCATCCTACGGTCACCATTCATTCAATTTTTCATCTCCATTCCCTCTCCCTCCAAATACTATTACATAAATAAATAAGATATTATCTTAATTTGTTGGTTACATGCATTTGTCCCTTACATAGAATATTGTCTCCTTCTGTTCAACTTCAGTTGGACGGTGATATTAGCCACTAGAATTCATGATGCATCTATATGTAGAAGATATTATTTTGGTGCAAGTGGCAAAGATATTTCCAAAAAAGAACCAATAGTTTTGTAAAATGTTAGGGATAAAATGTAACCAGTCATCTCTGCGCATACTAGTTAGTATTCATATCCGGTCAAGACACAAGTTGTGTCTTTTATTGGTTATCAAGCAAAATAGCTAAAATAAATCACATTACTAAGTGATGAAAATGGAAAAGCACTTCTATTTTAGTGACATTTAAGATCATAAATCCCCTATACAGCTATACTTAAAATTTATTCTCATCGTATTGGTTTGATATGAAAACCCAAATAGCCATCTTCTTCACAGGGAAAGAGGTAGTGAGTAGAAGTCATGGGGCCAATCTATGAATTTTCCACGCAGGTTTCCCGTTTACGTCTTGCAGAGAATACTGGAGCCTGTGTTCGACGTTCATGGGTTAGCAAAAGCATTAGCTATGGCTAATTTTATGTGTTCTACGCCTAATTAAGAGATCATTTTCCTCTTTAGCACTTCATTCAATAAATTTTGAAGAAGATAGAGCATACCTGTCATGCAAACGAGATGGTTGTCCTTGCCAAAACTCGAAAAGGTTTGGTTTAAGTCTGAATCCTCCCCAGTTTTTCGGCTTTGGTATCACACTTCTGCAAGCCAGAAACAAGGTCTTAGTCATCAATCAAGGGCATCGAATCAAAACAAATGCTTTTAAGAGTTCGAAGATTTTACAACTCACCCGCCTGAATATTTTTTTGTCAGTTCTTCATACTCATCGTATAGAACATGCCTGCCAGGTACAACAGAACTCTGATAACAACCAAAAGTTGAAGGGTAAGGGTCCAAAGCAAATTCCTAACATCATATGAAATATTTTGAATACTGTAACAGATCACAAGGCACCTGCTTGCTGACAATAGCTCCAATCTGACTTCCTCTAGGACGACTATGAAAGTAATTCTCGGATTCTGACTCAGGTATTCTCTCCACTTGTCCTTCAATTCTTACCTGGTTAGGTACAGTGGACATTAGTACTACTAAAAGATCTTGATCGACCAAATTACTAATTCTTGTGTATCAGTGGTTGGCCAACTGGCTTTGTAGGCCAGATATTTTACTACAGTGCACCTCATATATTGATATTGAAAGTATTAACTAAAAGCCTAAGACACACAAGGAGGTTAAAGAAGATGGAAACACACACCTGACGGTTCAAACTTTCCCAGTAAAAAAGAAGTGCTGCACTAGGATTTTCTGATAAATCAGAACCCTTCTTACTTTCGTAGTTGGTGAACCTGCATTTTACAATTTAAACAAGTAACATCAGGTTGCACACCCCATTTCTCAGCAGAAAAGGGAGAGAATGTACTAACCAGACAAATCCATTCTCATCAAATCCTTTTAGTAAAACCATTCTTGATGAGCTGTAGCATGATCAGGCTAATTAGATAAGATAATGAAAAAGAAAGTAGACAGGCAAATTCTGTGCCTGATGCAAATATGTGGATTTTCTATCTATTGATATAAGTTGTACTCAAGCATAATTGAGTCCGCCCATGATCAAGATTCGTGTATGCAGAGACACTAACATATATACTTACGACTACTTCAAAAAGAATGGAATAAGAAAAAACATGTTAGAAACTGCAAATCATGCAGCAAATTGGAAATCTCAGACGCACTTTTTTGTGTCACAGGCTGTATATCAGACAATAACTAGTTCAAAGAAATCATAGCTGGATCTATTTCATCCTATTGCAGAAAGCTCTATAAAGTTCCACTTTTATAATACAGTCATGCACTCATGCTAGATAACATCTAAGAGATATGGAATTAGAAATGCTTTTGGAACATGTTCATCAGCATATTGTTACATGGAGTAGGGTCTCCGGAAATATCAAAGTATACTTACGGTTTTTTGTCCTTGTTCGCTGTACACAAAGCCATAGCATTGGTTTCTCTCAATCCAGCAGCAACTGCCTCATCAAACCATTTACGAAACTGCAAAACACGAAAGACCTGTATTAGCCAAACGGATGTCTTAATCTCTTATTAGAAACCACAATAACTAAGCAGTGACTAGTCTAGAAGAACGAGTTATTAAAAGGCCATTAAAAATGAGCAAAAGTGAAAAGAGTATTATTATTACATCAGATAAAATATTGACTTGGGCGAATGTCTTATTTTCTGGGAGAATATATAAGTTTCTGCTCATTCATTACCTTGTCGAAAAATACAGATAAGCAAAGAAAAGAAATGAATTCATACCTGTACCGTAGGATCAGTTTCAACCTGCTCCTCGAGCAGTTCTGGAGAGACATAGTTCACTCTCATAGCAGATATGTCAACTCTGGGAGGTTTACCAATTCTAACACACATAGATGTCCCAGGGTAACTAGGGAGCTCCAGCTTATATTTTTCTGCAACAGAAGGTGGTACAAATCTCCCACCTAAAAAGTGATGAGGGCCACGGAATCTCTTTGCACATAATTTTGGGGCAGTCAAAGATACCTAAAAAGAGTAAATAGGTTCAATTTATAGAGTAGTTTGCTTTATATATGATTGTAACAAATGAGTCAAAAGGAAAAAGAGTAACACAAGCATTTCGGCTAAGGCGTACCAACATATCAGGCTTAATTCCTCCATCTTCATGGTCTCCTTCTTCAACGTGCCAACCAGAGGGAATATCTACAGAGACGATGACTGGGTGTTTTTGGAGCGTCTGCTCATAGTTCTGCAAGGACACCAATCGCCGGATGAGGTCATCAAAAGGAGGCCTGGGAGCACCTATATGTGCAAAAAAAAGGACTTTCAAAACCAAGTGAAACATGATGCAAATGGAACATGATGCAAACGAAATAGGTGCATCACTGAATTATTTAATACTTTGATTCAAAAACCTGCTGTCCTAAACTTGGATGAGTTTATTTCTTTTAAATGTTTCATGCTTTGTAGAATTCAAAATACGTGGGCAAAATAATAGTTACCATGAAATGAAAACCCAAACATTGCATCAACAATAACATCAAAGTCCTTTGACAAGTTTTCTGGCAGATCATCAACGGAAACAAAAGGGACTGAGAGTGACTCCAACTACAAAAACAGGAAAATATCAGCAGGCAATATAGAAACGGAAAAAGCTAACAAAGATCATAAATTAACACTGGTTACAAACCTGAGTGACCAGTCCAGTGTAAAGTGGCTTGGCTGTACGTTTGGGATAGCAAATAAACGGTTTATATCCCAAGTGGTGAAGATGCCTCGCCGCCACCAAACCATCACCGCCATTGTTCCCAGGACCACAGATAGCTAGAACCCGACTATATTCTCCCGGATTATAAACCTGGAAAAACATTCTAGACTTCAAATCCAATGTACATAAACTGTGATACCTATCTTTGGGTGCAATTAAGCCAATTATGTCAACTTAGATTCCTAGTTTAAGCAGATTTCAATTATCTTATTTCATTGCAAAATCCTTCTCAACTTAGCGTAGAGAGAGCTTTAGAGGCTTATCGATTTAAAGGGAAAAGCTTTGAGCTTTGATTACCTCAGCAATTGAAGTAGCGACGCTAAGACCAGCCAATTCCTGCAATAAGAAGAAGAGCAAAATCAAGCACGATCAGGTAGCAAAACATGGGGGAGAAGAAGAAGAAGAAGAAGAGAAAAATGGAGGACCATGAGCTGATCAACGGAGAAACCAAGAGGACCCATCAAGGTTTCATCAATCTCAGCAGCTTCTCGCTGAGTAAGATAAGAGAGTGGTGGTGATCCTGAATCCTCCATGTTTGGTATGATGGATTTGGTACACAAAGTCCGCACCGAATCGGAGCGTAGACGAGAGCCCTGGCTTGGAGTGAGGAATCGCTGGGTGGGTAGAGGAAGAGAGTAGAGAGAGAATTGAGGAGGAGGAGAAATTGGGAGTGGTGGTGGTGATTGGAGGAGGAAGGTGAATGTCATTGTTCTGACTCTACGCACCACATTCCTCATTTAGCCCAATACTCACTCCCACAACAAAATTAATTTGGAGTCTCTTATTATGACCCAATACTCTTAAATTATAAGCCAACTTTGTTTGGTATATGTTATGTTTACCTATAGAGAACCAAATCAATTTCACAAAAAGATTCACAAATTTTTAAAATAATCACAAAGATGATGGTAATCAGATTAAAGAGTGTGATCTCGAAGTTAATTGGGCTAGCCCAAGCAAGC